CTATGATTCCCTATAACTAATACTGTGGCCACTGCCTCGTAGACTATAACCCTTCCACAATAGCATTCTGTCACACAGCTTCAATCTCACACTATCCTCTAACTCAACGATATCACACGAGGCTTCATTTCTTTTCTGTCACACAGCTTCAATCTCACAGTAACCTCTAACTCAACGATATCACAAAAGGCCTCATTTCTTGCCCAACGAGAGACGAAGCCTAAAAAAAAAAAAAATACGGTACAGGTTGTTCAGAGAGTGTACCGTAATATTGTATCGCCCCGACTTTCCAAGCTGTCGAAATACTGTTTACATCGAGGTTCCTTTGGTGTAGCTGAATGGGGAGGGTGGAAGTGATAAATAAAGGAAATAGAAGGGGGAGTGTGGAGGGTGAAGGAGGAGGAGAAGGAGATAGATAAAATAAATAGAAGGGAGAGAGTGGAGGGTGGAGGAGGAGGGGATAGATAAAAGAGAGAGAAGGAGGAGAGTGGAGGGTGAAGGAGGAGGAGAAGGAGATAGATAAAATAAATAGAAGGGAGAGAGTGGAGGGTGGAGGAGGAAGTGATAGGTAAAAGGAAAGAGGGGGGGGGAGAGTGGAGGATGGAGGAGGAGGTAATAGATAAAAGAAACAGAAGGGGGAGGGAGATGTGGAGAAGAAGGAGGTGAAGGAATAAAAAGATAGAAAGGGGGAGGAGGAAGAAATGATGAGGGTTGAATGAGGTGATGAATAAAAAAATAGGTGGAGGGGGAAGAGATGAAGAAAAAAAGGATAGAAAAGGGAGGGGAAGAGAACGAAATAGGGTTGGAGAAGGAGGGAGGAGATGAAATAAAAGAAGGAGGAAGGGGAGGAAAGGAAAATGTAAAAGAGAGAGGGAGAGGAGAGAGGAGAAGGTGAAGGAAAGCAGAATGTGAAAGAAGAAATAGATGAAAGGGAGATTTGGAAAAAAGAGGTAAAGAAAAAACAAAGATGAAAGAGAGAAGTGGAGAAAGAAATACAAGAAAATGGAAGGGGAAGTTATAAGAATAAAAAAGAAAGAGACAAAAAAAAGAGAAAAAATAAGCAAAAGAAAAAGAAAAAAAAATAAATGGAGAAAAAAAAAGAAGAAAAAGAAAGATAAAAAAATAAAATCAAAATAAAGAAGAAAAGAAAAAAAAAAACGAACAGGGGAAAGAGAAGGAGGGACAAAGGGCATAAAAAAAAGAAAAAAAACACCTGATAAAATATATCGTTCTCTTGGCTCTCCTGTGTTAGATACTTACCTAGACTAATAAATTCTTCGTAAACTTTTTTTTTTTTTTCTTTTCCTTACTTTCTCGTTTCATTATTCGTAATTATAGAGAAAGTGTTCGGTTACACGACGTGATCCGGTTCTTATACACGCTAGATTACCGATCGCTTCCAGGTCCCTCGCTTCTCTCTCTCTCTTTCTTTCTCTTTCTCTGTCTTTCTTTCTTTGTCTATCTCTTATTCTCTTTCTGTCGTTCCCTTTCTTTTCTCTTTTCTTTGTTTTCCTTTNGGGCCCCATAAAGCAACAAAAAAGGATAGGAAAAATGCTAAGACATAATTGAAAAAGGTCCTATTTTCCCCTATTTCGTCCCGAGAAGCCAATGAAAAAACAAACAACAATATCAAAAATAACAATACACCATAAAAAAATTACTTTCCCACATATCACCCGAGATCCCAAAAACAAAACACAACAACAACAACAAGAAAAATACAAATTTTGCCCATTTCGATCGAAGAAGTCAAGAAGAACAGGAAGCAAATCAGAATAACAATACCATAAAAAAAAAAAACATTTCCCCCCCCCATTTTGATCTAAGAAGCAGGAGAAAAGCAACAAAAACAAGGCAATACATACAGACAATATCAACAACAATACACCATAAAAAAAAAAAAGGCTTGATTTTTCCCCCCACAGCCAAAAAAAAAAGGTATCTCCTCTTCTGTCTGATTTTTTATTTTTCCCCATTAGACCACCAAAAAAGCTGATTTTTCCCCCATCAGACAACAAAAAAAAAAGGCTACCTTGAAAATTCTTTCTCCTCCCTTCAGATTCTCATGTGGAGGAAGGAAAAAGGATGGAAAGAAAAAGGGTCGCCCGAAAATTTTCCCGTCCCCTATCAGAACACAAAAAAGCTCTGATTTCCCCCATCAGAACACAAAAAAGGTCTGATTTCCCCCCATCAGACCATAAAAAATAATTAAAGAAAAAAATAAAAAATAATAAAAATAAAAAAAAAAAAAAAATAAAAAAAGTCTCTGGATTTTCCCCCCATCAGACTCACAAAAAAAGGTTCTCTGATTTCCCAATTAGTTTCCAAACAAAGGGTTCTGATTTCCATTGACCACAAAAAAAGGTTCTGATTTTTCCCCCATCAGACCACAAAAAGGCCTCGGTTCTCTTTTTTTCCCGTCAGACCACTGAAAAAAAAAAAAAAAAAAAAAAGCTCTGATTTCCCATCCCCCATCATCAGACCACAAAGGTCTGATGTTTCCCCCATCAGACCACATGGAGGAAAGGTCTGATTTCCCCAATTAGACCAAACAAAAAAAGACTGATTTCCCCCCCATCAGACAATGAAAATTGAAAAAGGTTTCTGATTTCCCCCCCATCGACCAACAAAAAAGGTCTCTCTGATTTTTTCCCCCATCGGAACACAAAAAGGTTGATTCCTCTCCCATCAGACCATATAAAAAAAAAAAAACGTCTGATTTTCCACATCACAGACACAAAAAAAAAGGTCTGATTCCCAATATAGACCAAAAAAAAAAAAGCTGATTTTTCCCTTTTTATAGACCCATTATAAAAAAAAACGTCTGGGGCTGATTTTCCCCAATACAGACACACCAAAAAAAGGTTAGTTCTGATTATCTCCCATTAGTTCCCCAATTAGACCAAACAAAGGTCTGATTTTCCCCATTAGACCACAAAAAAGGTCTGATTTCCCCCCCCATCAGACCACAAAAAGGTCTTATTTTTTCCCGTCAGACCGAAAAAAAAAAAGCTCTGATTTTCCCCCATCAGACCACAAACAAACGAGTCTGATTTCCCCCCATCAGACCATGAGAAAGGTCTGATTTTCCCCCATCAGACAACAAAAAAAAGATCTGATTTTTCCCCTAATCAGAACACATAAAAAAAAGGTCTGATTTCCCCTATCAAGACCATTAAAAAGAGGTCTGATTTCCCCCTATCAGACCATAAAAAAGCTCTGAATTTCCCCCTATCAGGACCATTAAAAAAGTCTCTGATAATTTTTTTTTCACCTCGCGACCCTTAAAAATTTAAAAAATTGTTCTATTTTCCCCTATCAACCATTAAAAAAAAGGGTCTGATTTTCCCCTATTCAGACCATAAAAAAAGCTCTTGATTTTCCCCCTCAGACCCAAAAAGAAAAGGTTCTGATTTTTCCCCCATTCAGATAAAAAAAAAAGGTCTGATTTTTCCCCCATAGACCCAATATAAAAAAAAGAGTCTGATTTCCCCCGCATCAGACCACAAAAAAAAAGCGGTCTGATTATCTTTTCCCCATACTGACCAAAAAAAAATCTTCGCTGATTTTTCCCCCACAGACCACCCATTAAAAAAAAGGTCTGTATTTTCCCCCATCAGCTCCAAAAAAAAAAGTGGTTGTTATATTCCCCAACAGACCCTAAAAGGTTTTGATTTCCCCTCAGACCCGAAGAGGCTGCGCAGGTGTCATCGTGGCCCTCAACCTTACACCTTGGCAACCGACACCAGTCAAAACAACAGTCTGTATCGGGAGGAGGGGAGGAGAAGAAAGGAAGGTTTAAGAGCTTAGAGAGGAGATAAGGAGGGGAATGGGAGGAGGAAGAAGAGAAGAAGAAGAAAAGACATAGAATTTAATGAAAAAAGAAAAAAGTAAGAACAGAAAGAGTAAGATGCCCCAAGGGAATAAGGATAAAAAGAAAGAGTGAAGAAGAGAAAAAGAGGAAAAAAGAAGAAGAAGAAGAGATGATCTAGTAGGAAAAGAAGGATAAGAAAAGGAAGAAATGAAGATTTAAGGAGAAAAAGATAAAGAAGAAAGAAGAAGAAGAAGAAGAAGAAGAAGAAAAAGAAAGAGGAGGAGGAGGAGATGGACGAGGGGGGCTGTTGAGGACGAAGGTAAGAAACACCTTTGAGCTTCTAAGTTCTTCTGTTTTTTCTTTCGATTTCTTTATTATATTTTATCACTTTTTTCTTATCTTTGTTTTGTTTCGTATAATGTCCTTCTACTGTGATTTTTTTTACCATTCTTTTGTTTCGTCTCCTGTTTATTATTTTGTATTTTTGGTATGTTTCTGCTTTATTTTTATTATCATTTTTTTTTTTTTGTTCTATTTAATTTTTGTGTTTTTTTTTTTTTGTTTTCTCGTTTATTTGATTTTTTGGTTTCTCTTTCGTATTTCATTCTGATTCTAATAGTCGGTTTTATTTTTTATTTTCCTTCTGTATTTGCGTTGTATTTTCCTTTTAACCTCCCCTATTCTTCTACCTCACCTTCCCCTCCTTCATTTCATATCCCTTTTTCATATTGTTTCCTTTATTCATCCCCGTCCTTTATTCAATGTTCCTTCTTTTTTTTTTTTTCTTGTTCTTCTTCGACAGTTCTGTTGTTATCTTCTTCATTCGGTCTTCCTTTTCAATCTTCCGTCTATCAATCCATGATTATATATATATAATATATATATTTTTTTTTTTTTGTTCCTTTATCCCTATTACCATTTTTCTATCTCCCTTCTTTCCGTCTTTTGTTCCTGTCTCTTGTCTTTATCATTCCCTTTGCTACCTCTTGCAATTGGTAGTATTTTCCTTTCTCCTCCATTATTTTTTTATCTCTCCTTCTTCATTCATTATTCATTTTCCTTTCTCCTGCTTCATATTGTATTCACTTTCCTATTTTTTATTAGCATCTCTCCTCCTATTTCTCTTTTCATTCACTTTTCATTTCCTGGTCTTCTTTAGTATTATTTTTTCTTTTGTTTCATCATC